AAGCAAAATACATTACTTGCCTTTGGACGAGGCGTTGCTGTTCTAAGTTGAGCAGATCCCGGTTTCCGAAGCAACCTTGTCAAGAAGCTGGTGCCTCGCTGTGTACCTTCGGGCAGGCTCGCTCTCTCTCTCTCTCTCTTCCTCCCTCCCTCTTCTCTCTCTCTCTCTCTCTCTTTCTTTCTTTTGCTCTGGCTCTAGGGTTTTTCCCCCCCTCTCTCCCTGTCTCTCTACAGTCCGGGAGTAAAGTCTGAGATGATATACATACAGAGCTGGTCCTTCTGTGCGTGCGTGTGTGTGTGAGTGTGTGTGTGTGATTTAATCTTATTCGTTTCACCTTTTCATTGACCACCAGAAGACAGCACCGAGAGTATATTGGGAAAGAAAGAGAGAGAGGAGCAAGCGCGGGAGCTCACTGTTGCATAGTCAATAACATCCTTTTTATCAATGCAATCTACAATAGAGGCGGCTTGGCAGTGAAAACTGATGGGGGGGGAGAGAGAGAGGGAGAAGAGAGAGAGAGAGAACACCCTTCATTATTTCACCGCCAAATCGCAAGCCGTGTCTTCAGATCTACGAGTCTCGCCTCCAGCTGGGCTCTGGAGGTTTTTAGAAACCAGATCGAGAGAAAGGAGGGAAAGGTAGAGAAACCCCGAGCCAGACACACGATTTTTTCCCCTCTGCTTCTCTTAAAGAATCAGGAATATACAAGAATAGCCTTTCCGTCCCCCCCAGGGCCCCCATACTCTGTTGTGTGGAAACTTTGATAAAGTTGGTCAAGCTCACATAGGGAAATAGTACTGTAAGAAAGAAAAGTTTGGAGAAACGAGAGAGAAGACCTAGCAGCTAATAGGAAATCTTTCAAATCGGTTACCCATTCATAAAAGCACGGTTTTGTGGAGGGAGAAGCAAGTAAGGAAAATGTCCATTCACGTTTTTTTTTAAGTATCTTCATGCTCCTTTACCAGAAGCACTAGCTTGCCCCCCCTCCCATACACACATACAGGGAGCAGAAGGAAGGGGGAGCCAGACAAACTGCCGTTTCACCGCCCTCTTCCTGTCCGCTAGATGGCAGCACGATCCAGCGATTTCCACTAGCACTGGCAGAGGGGAATCATTGGTCGCCCCCAGCGCACACTCTCACCCGGTTCCCAGCATACACTCCTCCAGCCTCGCATTCTCTCTTCCCCTCTCACTTGAACTTTCCTGTGCAAGCATTGATCCTCTCGCATAGACAGTAAAAACGATTGCTTACTTTTGTTATAAATTAATCATGACTTAGGCTGTTTAAAAACATTCTGGGAAGAAGAAAATAGGTGGAGGGACGCGTAAATTGTGTGTGTGTGTGTGTGTGTGTGTGTGTGTGTATAGATACATCGTTAGAAATATATTCTCTCGCTTTTTGTCTCACACAAATACACGCGGAGAGTCGGGGAATAACCAAATAAAATAGGGTATTGCTTTCTGACCAGGCAAATTCCACCGTAGGAGTGACGGCAATGAAACGTTATTTTTTAGAAACACACGCACGCACACACCACAAAACCGGGATAATAGAAGAAGAAGAAGAAAGGAAGGCAGCGCGTTGGGAGGAGAAAAGAGGGGGCGTGTTGAGCTCTAACATATGGAACCATAAATGTATTTATAAATACTGTACTTACATTCCTTATGGAATCTCCTTAGCCATCTACTTCCAGTCATTAAACAATAAATTCCAATCCAAGTATTGTAATTCCTAATCAGGGTATTTTAGGTAGAAAAGCAGGGACCCCCAAAGATATGCAGAGAAATCTAATTTAAAAAAAAACTTTTCAGAACGAGCCAAAATAATTTCCTTTTAATTCCCCTTTCCCCCTATCGCAATGCATCTCTTCCCCCCCCCGCGCGCGCCGCCTTTCCTCCTTTCTCTTCTCGTGCGTGTGTGTCTGTGTGTGTGACCATAGACGACCCATACTAATCAGGTCTCAAAGTAAATAGCAGAGCAGGGCGATCTCAATGTAAATTGTGCTTGTCAGGAGAAAACCCCCCTCCCTCTTCTTCCCCTCTGTCTCTCTCTCTCTCTCTCCCTCCCTCCCTCCCCCGACCCCTCCTTCCCCCTC